CCAACACGTCCCTTATTCTTTTCCAATCGTTGAAAGTGAAGGGTGAAGGTTTTTTTGGATATCATCTTTTAGTGTTTGGTATTTATTGCCATTCATTTCAACGACCAGCTTTCCATGGAATTGAAGAACAACACTGTTGGTCTATAGCTCTTGTTCATTCTTCCGGATGTGCATTTTATGCAATGATAATAGAATCATGGAATGTGGTCGTTTGCCCGCATTGTGCTTTTCCTGTTCATCATTTTACATAATCTCGATGTTCTGAACTTTTGGTAAAAACGCCTATACAAGTACCTACAATTTCATTTTCATCGGGTTTTTTTTTTCATCATCATCGTCTGTTGATGAATGAATGCATTCATTCGCAAAAGGAGAGATGACTTAAAATTTCTTCTGACAAACCAACACTTTGGAATGTCACCACAAGAAGATCAATCAAACGATAGCAGTCTTGTCACTATCAAAAGATATCATTATTATATATTCGCAAACGAAAGCAATATAACAAAGCATTGTTCCATGATTTCCGTCCTGAAATTACACTACAAAGCTACCGGTAGTACTCGTACCTGGTACTTTGGATGGATAGTATCATCATACGTGTCACATGTAGTGAAATAGCAAGAGCAACAACAATAGCACTAGTAACAGCAAGCGTTGGCAAAATATCGGCGACCCTCCACACAAGGAAGTGAGTGATCTAATGATTGACGATCCATTCATTCATTCATTTTCATTCAATCGTACAGTAGTAGTAGTAGTAGTAGTAGTAGTAGTAGTAGTAGTAGTAGTAGTAGTAGTAGTACATGGAACGTATGATTTATTCCATTCTCTCCCATTATATTATTCTCCCATTCCATTCCAAGGAATATTTATAAATGTTCTTGCCAATAATATTAAAGCCAGACGAGTATCTTTGTACAATAATTGTAGGAGATCAATAGTAAATATAGTGATGATTCTAATCAACCGTACCGTACCGTATTGACAGGCATATACGGTAGTGTCAATAATAAGTATACCATCCATATCGGCAAACGGTGTACCTGTAGTAGGTTATGTGATGGATTTCGAAATGTCTGACGCTACAGTATTATATTGATGATTGTATCAATAAAAATGCAATATGCGACATTCATTATTGCCAAGGGTCTGACTTGTTGTTGTTGGATGAATGACTGAATGAATGAATGACTGATTGATTGAATGAATGAATGAATGTTTATTATTATATTATATTATATTATATGAATATGCATGCATACCGTACGATGATCGATCCGATATCCTCATCACCGTTTCGATATGGTTCATGATGATCATCGTCCTCATCCAATCTCAGAGAGTCTTGGTAGAGTTCGTTCTATACTCCATTCGACTTATCGCATATACTCACTCTTGAATTGCCGCGTCGTTATTATTCAAATATTTTTGCAATCATGTATTTATAAAACGTTGCATCATCAATATAATGACTCGATATCTTTCTTGTTCTTGTTCTTATTCTTGTTGTTGTTGTAGTACTGTAGAACGGCAGCACTCGACTGAGCGCTCGTGAGTACTTGTACATCCAATCGCATTCAGTTAGATTCATTCTTGAATATATGATGGATGAATCATCATCGTTACGATTTTTTTATATCATCGTTGTTTTAATCCTCTAGAAACCATGCAAGAAGAATGAATGAAAGCATTCCAGGTCAGTTCCATTTTTTGTTTGTTTGTTTGAAAAGCCATTACGATAATAGCGACCAGACAAGAAAATAATCCAACCAACCTTTTTCTTTCTTGTTCATCTTCTTCCCCAACAACATCGTTTTATTGACCGGCACAATATGTCTACAATGTTGAGTTCCTTTCGCATACATACACACATAACGGCATCCTTTTCTTCATAATCATCATATGACATATGATTGTTGATACCAACATACCTACTAGTAAAATGCAGATGAGACGATGCGGAACCACCACCCCCAAAAATGGCATGTGATCGATCGATCAATCCCAACATCATATTGACACTCATCATTATTTCTTCTGGAAAAAATGACAATGACAATGGCAATGACCGACGACCGACGAGTATAATATACTCGAGCTGTATATTCCACCATATATGTCAGCTGACTTCGTGTGGTAAGAGCCGAACTTTGAATTTTGTGCGATGATGGATGGTTTTTGCTCGTCGTTTTCGTTGAATCAATGAGGAATCCAAGATTCAATTCAACATTCTGTTACTCCTACTTTGCGTTCCAATAAAAGAAAATATGAAGCATCATGAATCAGCATGAAGCAACATATTTAGTCATTGTCAGAGCATGAAAATAATAGAATCCTTCATCGCATCGATATTCGGTCGTTCTCAGAAAGAAGCTACACAAGTACTACGAACCAATGTTTTTTATGATGTCGCCAAATTTGTGGCAGTCCTTCATCCACAATCCCATGGTACCTTTCGCGAGGAATGACTGTTGGAATCATGAACCGTCTTGAACGGATATTATTTGAAATCTCGTTGCCTTTTTTTTGTGGAAACATATTGCAATGAAAAATGATAATGATAATGATATCTACCGGTATACGATATACTCGTATATAGTAACATTCAATAAGGAACGCATCGCACTTATTTTTTCTGTGGTTTGTTCATCAAATAAACTTGTTGAGATCAATCATCAAACAAACAAACAAACAAACAAACAACTCATGACGTTCCTATCACCATCCTTCAAGAAGGGACTATTATTGAAACCATTCAAGAAGAGGGGACAATCCAAGAAGAATCACTTCAAGGAAGATTTGGAATCATCCATCAACAAGGATCTTTCTTCTTCGTCGTCGTCGTCGTCTTTGTCTATCGGAACGATTGAAAAAGATCATGATGATGATTCTAGTCTTGAGGATCCTGGCAACGACGAAGTTGTTCTTGATGCGGAACAACTACAACTACAACAACAAGCAGAAGCCGAAGTACAACCAAATGTGGAATACTCTTCCGTCTTGGTGGAAAACCACCATTTGGACGATCAACCCGTCGAAACCGAATTGGTCTTGACCACGACTACTACCTACACTCATTCCAATGATTTTGACGAAGAGCAACTATTCCGCATGCAACTACAGTCACAAGAAGACGAAGAGGAGGAAGAAGAAGAAGGTTCCAGCATTGCCCAATATTATACTTCTGTCCAATGTCCTTCGTTGGACGTCACCTCTGATGATACCGAAGTCATTCTCAATACCAACAATGTTTCACGATTCCTTGCCCGATGCACTTCTGTCCAATCTTCTTCTCCTTCTTCTTCTTCATTGGACGAGGTCAACACTACAGAAGTCATTCTCAATACCCAAGATGTCTCACGCTGTACTTCCGTCTTGATTGAAGAGGAAGGACACAATCATCACAATAATTACAAGCCCTCCGGAACCGAAATGGTACTCACGAAAGCACGAATGATGGTGATGATGATAGAGAGTACTACTACTACTCCTACTCCTACTATTCAAGAAGAAGACCACCAAGACAAACAAGAAGAAGAAGAAGCAAGCGTGCCCGAAGTGATTCCACCCTCGGAAGATGACTTTATTGTGGTCCTTTCCGATCATCATCCTCATCCTCATCATCATCATCATTATCAGCATGACCACAACAACAACTACAACAATAAGGAGGAGGAAGAAGAAGAAATCAAGAATGTCCAAGAAGAACCTACTACTATGAACAATACTCCACAAGACACGACCACGACCGCCATCATTGTTGACCATGACCATGACGATGATGATGATAATGACAATGTGTCAGTCTCGTTGCTTTCCTTTTGCAACCACCACATGGCCAATCAGCACCAAACGGAACAAGAAAAAAAAGAAGAAGAAAAAGCATCATCGTTCATGGGACAAGAATCTACTACTACTACTGTTCCACAAGACATTATTGATCATGAGGATAATGTGTCCGTCTCGTTACTGTCCTATCATATGAATGCCAACTACAAGAATCATCCTGTTCCCCTACAAGAAGATGAAGAAGA